CTGCTGTATATTTGGAGTTTGCGTGTGTCTCTCTCTCTCTCCCCGTGGTCGCGTGGATTTTTCTCCGGGTGTTCCGGTTTTCCCCTCCACATTTAGAATCAACACCACGCGTTTAGAGTATTTGGCTGCTATAAATGTGCACGCTATAAGCCACTTTTTGTTGGGCAATCATTCGCGATAGCCGGGTCGCTTCTGATTAAAAAAAGCTACATAGCTCAGTGGGCCTTAAATGGTACATAAATATACGGTAGTCATCATCATCATCTCGCTGTCTCAGCACCATCATCCCCGCCTCGCATCTTCACCCCCTCGCTTGCGCGTCCGTGCGCGTGTGCGAAAATGTATTGGTTGGACAACCCGACTAAATTATTCCTCTTCTTTGGTTCTTTCGGTAAAGTCACGTAGAATGATAATACAATAATAAATTAATAAAATAAAATAACACAATTAAATTCTCACGACGTTTCGGCCACAACACAAGTGGCCTTCTTCAGGTGAAAGGAACAGACCTGTCGGGACGACAGAGCTTCAATGAACGTTGTTAAGATTCGTAGCGTCTTTTAAGCTGGTTTAGAGAAGTGAGGCACCTTGATAAAGGGGTTTACATATCAAGGTGCCTCACTTCTCTAAACCAGCTTAAAAGACACTACGAATCTTAACATCGTTCATTGAAGCTCTGTCGTCCCGACAGGTCTGTTCCTTTCACCTGAAGAATGCCACTTGTGTTGTGGCCGAAACGTCGTGAGAATTTTATTGTGTTATTTTATTTTATTAATTTATTATTGTATTCTCATTCTACGTGACTTTACCCAAAGAACCAAAGAAGATGAATCCTTACAGTCAGGAAAGCTTTAAATCGAAATTTAAATTATTCCTCTGTTTAAAAAATAATACACTCGCAAAAAAAACATGAAACGGAAAATTGAGGGGGCAAAACGCTTCCCAGTTTCAAAACAAGCAAAAACAAAAAACCTCGGCCTGGATCTGCCCTTGGGGTTTGGGACTGAGGCCTCCCCTGGCCCGTGAGGTAGCATCCATCTCCGAACGCTGCGGTGGCCACCTCTGCGGTACGGGAAACCCGGGATTCATCACGATATCGCCACAAAGGGTAAACGTGAGCATAGGTAAAAGCCAATTCTTAAAGCCCGTTCATAATTTTCATCATTTTGATACTGGTAGGTAAAAACAAAAAAGGTATCTCATAGATAAAACTGCTCGACCCGAGCTCAAAGTTGTCGGATACTTGCACTGTTCGCATTTTGGCATTCTCCGGCCTGACACTGGTGGTTAGACTAGGCCTGGCCTGACACTGGTGGTGAGACTAGGCCTGGCCTGACACTGGTGGTGAGACTAGGCCTGGCCTGACACTGGTGGTGAGACGAGGCCTGGCCTGACACTGGCGGTGAGACTAGGCCTGGCCTGACACTGGTGGTGAGACTAGCCTGGCCTGACACTGGTGGTGAGACGAGGCCTGGCCTGACACTGGTGGTGAGACTAGGCCTGGCCTGACACTGGTGGTGAGACTAGGCCTGGCCTGACACTGGTGGTGAGACTAGGCCTGGCCTGACACTGGTGGTGAGACTAGGCCTGGCCTGACACTGGTGGTGAGACTAGGCCTGGCCTGACACTGGTGGTGAGACTAGGCCTGGCCTGACACTGGTGGCGAGACGAGGCCATGAAGAAGGCTACAGTCTCTGGTGTTGGCCAATCCGTTTCAAAGACAATGCCACAGATTATTATCCGAGCATGTTTGTTTGCATGCTTTGCCCCAAATACGTGCGCGGTTAATGCAGACTTGATGCCTTGAAAAATGTATATTTTTATTTGGTGTTTTAACACCTGTTCTATTATAACAATAGGTTTGGCCCTTTCTGGCAATAAAACAGGAGGTGTTAAGATGTTAAAACACCAAAACAGAATCGTTTTTCAAGGAGTCCTGCCTGCATTAACCACACAATAATTGTGAACATGGAAACAAAACATGCTCTGATAAAATATGAATTGTCTTTGAAACAAGACAATGCATATGAAGGGTAAAACCAATTCTTATTCATCACCAACAAGAAGAATCTCAAAAATACAGGATAGAGGGCGGACCTAAATGTGGACGCATCGTATTGAGCGATGCATCATCATCATCAGTACGGAACTGACTGAAGCCGGGACCGTTAACGCTTCCGGAAAGAGTCTCAAGATGCAGTGGCGACTCGTGACGTGACCGCGAGGTTGGGGCTGTTGTGAGTGACCTCTAAAAAGATGGAATTCTAATTAAGAAAAAAAAACCTCGTTGTGTTTTTGGCCTTCCCGTGAAAGTGATATGACCGTCTTGTCTACCAGCGGTAGGCATTCATAAACAATACGAAACACTTCTAGATTTAAAGCTTTCGTGACTGCTAGGATCCATACTCTTTGGTTCTATTGGGTAAAGTCACGTAGGTAAAAAATAAAATAACAAAAATCACGACGTTTCGGCCACAACACAAGCGGCCTTCATCAGGTGAAGGGACGAGACTGTCTGGAGGACAGCGCTGGAGTGAAAAAGCCACGCTCAGATCTGAGCGTGGCTTTTTCTGAGCGTGGCTTTTTCACTCCAGCGCTGTCCTCCAGACAGTCTCGTCCCTTCACCTGATGAAGGCCGCTTGTGTTGTGGCCGAAACGTCGTGATTTTTGTTATTTTATTTTTTACCTACGTGACTTTACCCAATAGAACCAAAGAGTATGAATACGAACACAACAACAGAGCACTCAAATGATGTCCCCACGACCCTCAAGTCCACACTCCACAACCCCCTTTTGACACTGCCGAAAGCCGTGAGCTGCCGCATTCGCGCAGTGCGACCTCGCGTCGTGACATCGTCTCATCGCAGCCACGGGCGCCTTTTTTTCCCCACCGCGCTGAAGAGGTCTGAAACGGCGTGGCTGCAACGCTAGAGGCGAATCGCAACGAACGAAGGGGAAATCTCTCACTCGGACGCATTCACAGCCGCCCCGAGACCTCCCCGAGGAACGAATCAGACCGCGGGCGTTGCCGTGATTTCTAATACGAACCATAAAAAAATTAAACACACAAAAAAAATATATATTTTTTGAAGTATTTTTGTATTAAGAAAAAAATCATTTGTCATCTCCAGTTGGTTGGTGGGGCGACGCCCCCAACGCCCCCTAGCGGACGAAACGTGCGCTAGCTGCAATGGTCATCACGTCTCACGACAACAAAACGATAATCCTGGGAAAACCGGGACAGTAGCGGATTATCCTAGTAGTGCAGCAGCTACTACACGCCTAGTAGTGCAGCAGCTACTACACGCGTAGTAGTGCAGCAGCTACCACACGCCTAGTAGTGCGGCAGCTACTACACGCGTAGTAGTGCAGCAGCTACTACACGCCTAGTAGTGCAGCAGCTACTACACGCCTAGTAGTGCGGCAGCTACTACACGCGTAGTAGTGCGGCAGCTACTACACACGTAGTAGTGCGGCAGCTACTACACGCGTAGTAGTGCGGCAGCTACTACACGCGTAGTAGTGCATCAGCTACTACACGTGTAGTAGTGCGGCAGCTACTACACGCCTAGTAGTGCAGCAGCTACTACACGCCTAGTAGTGCAGCAGCTACTACACGCGTAGTAGTGCAGCAGCTACTACACGCCTAGTAGTGCAGCAGCTACTACACGCCTAGTAGTGCAGCAGCTACTACACGCGTAGTAGTGCAGCAGCTACTACACGCCTAGTAGTGCAGCAGCTACTACACGCGTAGTAGTGCGGCAGCTACTACACGCCTAGTTGTGCGGCAGCTACTACACGCCTAGTAGTGCGGCAGCTACTACACGCCTAGTAGTGCAGCAGCTACTACACGCCTAGTAGTGCAGCAGCTACTACACGCCTAGTAGTGCAGCAGCTACTACACGCCTAGTAGTGCAGCAGCTACTACACGCATAGTAGTGCAGCAGCTACTACACGTGTAGTAGCTACTACATGTGCAGTAGCTACACCACGTGTAGCTACTACACGTGGTGTAGCTACTTGTGTAGTCGCTACAACATGTGTAGTAGCTACACGTTTAGTAGCTGCACCTGCAGTAGCTACGTGTGTAGTAGCTGCGTGTGTAGTAGCTACATGTGTAGTAGCTACATGTGTAGTAGCTGCACGTGTAGTAGCTACTACATGTGCAGTAGCTACGGACCCCGCACTTTCAAGGGTTCCGCGCTAAATGCTTTCAAGCTTTGTTCGCGACAATCCTTGCTCCAAAACTACACACACGAAATGGATTCACGGCGCTCGCACGAATTCCATTGACGGCGTTGGCCGTTGTTGTTGCTGCTGCTGCCGCCGTGCAGCGGCACCCTGCCACGTGCGCACGGATTCCACCGTCGTCCCGACGTTTCGCTCCGCGTGCTGACAAAGCTTTTCCAGGGAGCGAACCATCGGACATCCAATGCCGACAAACACGCGGTAATAACAAACCCAAGAACACTCAAAAAAACTAAACTCGGTTCTTTTTTTTCTCTCTCTCCAATATGCGGGCATCTGTGCAGAGAAATCGCCGGGGGGGGGAAACGTTTAATTCAACCTCCACTTGTCTGGCGGATGTAACGCGCCCCCTTGTGGATGGCCAGTGCCTGGGTACACACAGACACCGCTGATTTTTAACGCAGCAACGCTCAAGCTGCCCCCAACCCACAGGTTCACAGATTGGGGGAGGGGGGGGAAGCAAGAACTGTGGCATGGAAACCGTGCAGGGGAAAAAAAAAAATCGGAGCTTGTGCCGACAATGCCAGCGACAAAAAAAAACACCGGTGCACGTTACACAAAATGTCAACAATCATGCCGACACAGACTCACGTAGCTGCTCACCCACACACTCGCCCAACTCCGATGAGCACGGCTGGCTATGTACGGTGCGAAAGAAGTTCAACATACACACAGACTCGCAGTCACCCACTCACATAGTCGCTCACCGACTCAATACATCACGACGGTATCACAAATCAACGGGCACGTAATTGTTTAAATACATTATTTTTTTTTATTTAAGTCTTTGGAAGGAAACAACAATCTCTGGTAACGATACGATTATGATTTCCACTCACCATTAATTTTTTTTTGCATAAAGTATATCCCGCATAATCCCATCTCCCCCCAAAAACAAAATTGCTTCGGAGAAAATAACGAAATAAAGCAGCGGAACCCAAAGCGACCGCCTCATTTACGACAATCGAATCGAAGTGCGCGGCAAATTCTTAAGGCGAAGCCAAAGCAAATTTCAAGGTGCCGGTGGCACCGATTTTTTTTTTTTAATGCGGCTACATCAAAATGATTTCATTGCTTAGTAAAAGACCAACGTGAATCTCGATGGAGGAAACAAAAAAATCTAAAGTAAAAGAGAGCCCAATGATTTGTGAACGGTTTCGAGTACAGCAGTTTTCCCCACGGTAACACAATTAATCCCAGCGGTGCTACCGCAGGGGCTTGTGGCGGTGGCACAATTAACTTCAGGGGTGCCACCGCAGAATGTGTGACGGTAGAGGGGGTGTGGCACAATTAATCCCAGCGGTGCCACCGCAGGGCGTGTGACGGTAGAGAGGGTGTGGCACAATTAACCACAGCGGTGCCACCGCAGGGCGTGATGGTAGAGGGGGTGTGGCACAATTAATCCCAGCGGTGCCACCGCAGGGCGTGTGACGGTAGGGTGTGGCACAATTAACTCCAGCGGTGCCACCGCAGGGTGTGACGGTAGAGAGGTGTGGCACAATTAACACAGCGGTGCCACCGCAGGGCGTGATGGTAGAGGGGTGTGGCACAATTAATCCCAGCGGTGCCACCGCAGGGCGTGTGACGGTAGGGTGTGGCACAATTAACTCCAGCGGTGCCACCGCAGGGCGTGATGGTAGAGGGGGTGTGGCACAATTAACCACAGCGGTGCCACCGCAGGGCGTGTGACGGTAGGGTGTGGCACAATTAACCGCAGCGGTGCCACCGCAGGGCGTGTGACGGTAGGGTGTGGCACAATTAACTCCAGCGGTGCTACCGCAGGGCGTGATGGTAGAGAGGGTGTGGCACAATTAACCACAGCGGTGCCACCGCAGGGCGTGTGACGGGAGGGTTGAGGAGGAGGAGGAGACACGGGGGAGGACAAGGAGCGTCTCCGCAGACTTGAGTGTCCGTCGTCTCAGATGATGGCGTCCGTGTCTCCCCTGGAGACAAAAAAAAATTAGTTTAATCGGGGGGGTCTCGTTACAGAGCAAAAACCGCGCGTTCACACCCTCGGCTGTCCGCCAAATATCATCAATTGGTCGTTATGCGAGACGTAAATAAAACTTTGCGATACCGTCACAGCCGCCACAACAATCAACGTCTCGCACCACTTTTAAATCACGTGATTGCCCACGTCAAGTTTCACAGCATGGCGATTGTCGCTTCAAGTAACTTTGTACGGTAAATTGCATTTCACGTTTTTATTTTTACCGTGCCAAGAGTTGCTTTGCTGCGCCGGTACGAAATAAAGGCGATTTGAAAGCTCTTAAAACTGCAGTTCAACTCAACGTACACCCGCTGCGAGTCCTTCCGAATCTCATTACAACTTATAACGCCAATAAAAACATGGCTATAAAAACAATATGCCGCCAGGCAAGCCAAAATTAATTAAAACCAACTACGAAAATGCCGAGGCCACGTAATAATCCCCCGCCGTCAACTATTCTGGCAAACATTCTACAAAGCACACATTTCAAAGATAGCTGTTTATTTACTACCTTAATTAGGGAGTTTGTCACTTCATATATTGGCCAGAAACAGGATATAAAATTATATAAATAATGCCCATCACGATAGTTCGCAAAACGGACAAGGCATTTGTAGTGGACATTCAATCGTGCGATTCAGTATCACCCTAGCTACGAGTTCACGCCCTGTGCTAAAGTCACCACAATGGAAACTGGAGGTTTTTGTTTTAGATCGCGTAAATATAAATGTGTCGTAAAACCCGCCAGCCACCACCCGACACACAGCCACAATTAAGTAAGGTTTGTCACGTAAAGACAACGTTCCCAATTTGTTACTAGCTCAGCCACACACTGGTGTGTTGGACTCTGGCTGTACGTCTGATGATACTAGTTGTTGTAGTTGTAGTAATTTCCAGAGAAATGTTGTAGTAGGTTTACTCTCCAACACAACCGGTTAATGCTGAACTAGTAACCAATCTGCACGTTTTGTTTACGTGACAACCCTTACTCATTGGCTGTATCGGGTGGTGGTGGGTTTAAAGCCACATTTATACATTTACGCGATCTAACCGAAAAACTTCTGTTATGGATAAAATTGGTCGCAAAAGCCAACTACTACGACTACGAGGTGTTAAATTGGTAACTCAGTTCACCGTATCGGAAATATGAACGGGCACTCCGAAAGTTAAAAGTGCAAAAAAGTTTTTTTTTTTAATCTACGAAATATTGTAATAACGATTTTTTAGTTATTACAAAAGTGGCAGGTTTGATGACATTGATTATGTACATATAAATAGGGAAGCAGATGGACCGGTGTATAGTTGGACCGACAAAGATGATCAGATAAAGGTGACGCCTACTTATATTTGAACGCCACAGGACTGACGAGAAATAATTCAGGCGGATATAGAACAAAGCATAAACAGATAGATACACCAATGCAGATGGACACACTCTCATATGAACACTGAAAAAGATCTCCCCCGTATAGCCTTAACAGACTGTTGGGGCGAGTGTTGTTAGCGAGCACCTATGAAGGCCGGCACAGCACACGAGGGGGTGTGGGTGGCCAACACCACGCCCGGCCGCCTGTCTCCCCAGTGGTGACGATTACACTCCGCACCAGGTACTCATTTGAGGCCGAGTCGACCTAGAGGAGGGCCCATGATCGGTTTAGATACTAGTCACCGGTGTTGGCCGTGATTGGGTTATCGAACTGGGGTCGCCGGGTTCCTAGCGCAGCGCGATAACCGCTACCCACACAGATATACACGTTCACACACACACACAGGCCACAGACATACAATTTATATGTAACGACCAAAATTAACAAAAACACTCACCCCAAACCAATGTACAGCCTAATTGCTCCGAATAGTTCGTTGTTCGTGTCGTTTCATGTACTTCAGAAAACGAGTACCAAATGATAATAAAATCTTGTTCAAAATATATGTCTTCTTCCCTTATGCACATGCATCCCTCAACAGCGCGAGAGAATTGTATGCATGCATTTATAACTTCACTAGCACTGTACGTAGCCAACCGTGCCAATCGGAGGATGGCTGTGTGGTGAGTGGCTATGTGAGTGGGTGAGTGACTGAGTGGGTGAGTGACTATGTGAGTGGGTGAGTGGCTATGTGAGTGGGTGAGTGAATATGTGAGTGGGTGAGTGAGTGGCTATGTGAGTGGGTGAGTGGCTATGTGAGTGGGTGAGTGGCTATGTGAGTGGGTGAGTGGCTATGTGCGTGGGTGAGTGACTATGTGAGTGGGTTAGGAACTGAGTGGGTGAGGGACTGTGAGTGGGTGGCTATGTGAGTGGGTGAGTGGCTATGTGAGTGGGTGAGTGGCTGTGAGTGGGTGAGTGGCTATGTGAGTGGGTGAGTGGCTGTGAGTGGGTGAGTGAGTATGTGAGTGGCTATGTGAGTGGGTGAGTGAATGCATGAGTCGAGAACTTCTCTCGCACCGTACGTAGCCAACCGTGCTAAAATCGGAGGCGCGGCGAAGGGCTAATCCTGACAACTAGAACCCCCGATTAGCACCACCTACTAGATACATCCTCCTTGCCTCCGACATTTGTAGCTGTACACAACATTAGACAGCATTTTTAGATTACACAATTAACAATTCCATTTGTAAAACATTTTTTACTAATTTCTACTTTGCTGCTCCACATTATTTTTAGACTACCCTTGCTGCACAGTTACAGCTCTGTTCCTGCCACCACCCCCTTCCCTTCAATCCCCATCTCTAGGTCCCCCCCTATTAAACCAAAACACAGGAGGTTACTTGGATATGTACCTCATTTTCTCTTCTGGCCACGTCTTGCTTTCATTTGTTTGTAGGTTTTTTTTGTCCACCCACTCGCGATCCCGTACCTGTCAACCCCTTATCAGTGCCCTACCTTATTACAGACCGATTCAGACCTTATTTGGTTCACCTCCGCGCCCCCTTATAAATCTCAACGTTCATCCTAACAAAGTCCCATCACAAGGGAGAAACACAAAACAAATAGCCCAAAAAGTAATTTTCCCCGTATTGAAACGGCTGTACGCCGTATGGACCTGAAAACTCAATTTCCCTCCACAAGAATACGGGGTAAACCGTATGGGTTTGACAGCTCTGCGATTTGCGCGTGCTCCATTTGGCTTCCCACTATTAAAATTAGCGACTGTTTGCCGCGTGATACTACTTGGGGAGCCCGTGCGCGACGACTCCCCCGTGACGCTGGCGTTTCTCTGTCGCTGCGCTTGCGCAACACGCACCTCGCGACGTAGAGGATCAGCAGGCAAACGCGACACCCGAACAAAAACGGAGACACCACAGCAGGTACACGCGGGTACAACAACCGCCGTTTGCCACCGAGTGGCGGTGACATCACCACGGCACTTGTGCCAGTCTGTGCGCACTTTGGAGGCCAAGTGAATTGTCAAACCCCCGCCGGCAGGAGGTCACGTGACAGACCCAGGAGTGCCATGGGTTGACCGAGATGACTGGCAGATGATGCACCATCTGTTTCTCCCCCCTTCCTATGCCAACTCGCTGCGTTTTAACCGTCCGGCGCTCCGCTCGTTGTGCCGAGCGTCGCTCCTCTGCCCTCCGTTGTTGCCGGAGAGCGACCGACTGCCTCCCAACTGCCAGGCAGCAGCGTCCTTCACGAGCCTCATCCGCAGAGGCCGATCTTGACACCGCCGGTACCGGACATCGGCCAAAGTCCGCCCAGCTCCACACCCTCTCGTGCCACATCATTCCATCTCTTCCCTAGCCCGCGCACACACGCAGAGAGGAGGAGGAGGAAGCGGGGCGAGCCGTGGGGACGAACCTCGCGGTGGCGCGGACCCCACTTACAGGTGCTGGTAGCGCGGGTTGCGCGTGCGGAAGTACTTGAAGGCGAAGAACAGCAGCGCCTGCACCGCCACGGCCAGCACCACGCCGCCCACGAAGCTCACGGCGTCGAACGAGCGCACCGACCCGTCCGACGGCACCACGCCGCCCGCGGCCGCTACACGCACGCAACAAAGACAAAGATCCACCCCCCCCGTGTAGCCTTAACAGACTGTTGGGGCAAGTGCTATTCACGAGCAGCACCTTCGAAGGTCGGCACGACACACAAGGGGTGGGTGACCAGCAACGCGCGAGCACACACACGCACCCACGTGCTCAGACTAGCTACGAACAACCTCCTGGCTCCACCAACTCACCTCGGTGATAGCACGCACCAACCAGCTAACACATGCACAGGAACAAAGACAAATATCCCCCGTGTAGCCTTAACAGACTACTGGGGCAAGTGCTGTGAAGCGAGTAGCCGGCCCACAACACACGAGGGGGTGGGTGGGTGGCCAGCACCCACCTACCCCCTCGAGTCAACCGGAACTAGGTGGGGGCCCAGGCCTGGTATAAATATTGACCTCTGTTATTGGCCTAGAGCGGGAATCTAACCCGCTCGTTGGGTTCGTAGCACGACTTACTAGCACCAGTTTCTAGTTACACTCCCCACGAGCACCTCTATTTGTACCACGCACATGCAAATTCTACAGCAGCAGGCGTCAGCAGTCGGGATCGAGCCCACAGCCTCCCGCTCGTTGGTGCCACACCCACGACCAGCTACACACACACACGCAGGAACGCACCAACTAGCACGACTCGCAAGCACCTATTAAACACCTGCTGTTAGCCTCCGCTTCGTCGCAGCATCAAGCTTCTCTACGCATCGCGCGCTAGCCGGCGAACGTCACGACGTGCGTACTCACCGGCCGTGGATGAGGCGTGGACGGGGGCGGTGGAGAAGGCCGCGGGGCTCGCCGTCGTGCCATTGGTGGCGTTGGTGGGTATCACTGTGGAGTCGGGCAAGGTCCAGCATCACGGACACCACAAGGGGGCCAGACATCCTCCCATTAGCACGGTCGGCTATGTATGGTGCGAAAGAAGCTTAACGTACATATATAGACTCACAGTCACTTACCCACTCACCCGCACACTCGCCCATCCTCCGATTAGCACGGTTTCGTACGGTGCGAAACAAGTTCAAGGTACGTACATAAAAAAGGAGGCGGGTTTTTAAGGATAGCCGAGTGGTTCCAAGGACTCAGAATGGCCGTGTTATAGCACCGAGAGCGGCTAGGATTCCAGATTGCAGTTTGTGTTGCATACACAAACAGGGCCTCACGGTGTATATAAACGACACCCCAAGTGTAATGCGCGATCCACCTCACGCGGGAGAGCCTCGCCAAGTCTCAAGGAAAAGCTGAGGACGCCGAAGTCGATCAAGTCGCCCGAAAATACGAATAGAGTCCCCTTCGTCTTCGATTACCAAGGCAGATCCTATGGTCGGGCGCCACGGTGGCTTGTAGATCTTGGCTACCCAAGCCTGGAACGCAGGAGGTCGTGGGTTCGATCCCAACCCTGACGCCTGCTGCTGTATATTTGGAGTTTGCGTGTCTCCCTCTCTCATCATCATCACGGTGGCTAGGAGATGTTAACTACCTCGCCTAGTATACAGAAGGTCGTGGGTTCCCTCCCGACCCTGACGCCTGCTGCTGTATATTTGGAGTCTGCGTGTCTCTCTCTCTCTCATCATCATCACGGTGGCTAGGAAATGTTAACTACCCCGTGGTCATGTGGATTTTTCTCTGAGTCCTCTGCTTTTTTCCTCCAATATTTTAGAATCAAATTCACGCATTTCAGCGTTTTTGGTTGCTATAAATTTTGTCCACGTGACGATAAGCCACTTTTTGTTGGGCTATCATTTGTGATAGCCAGGTCGCTTCTGAAAAAGATCTACATGGCTCAGTAGACCTTACTTGGCAAAATAAAATAAAAAAAAGTTTGATAGGGTTTTTTGTTTCGTCTCCCGAGGGTGCTGGACATCCCTTTACAAGGGATGACCAGCACGACGCGACCGACTCTGTCGACATCCTCAAGCCCTACCCGTTCACCTCCCACCCAGAGGCGCACACGGGGAAAACAGAGGTGAGTCTTGCGTGTAATCAGATTCGTCGAGTAATTAAAATTATAAATCGGGTAGAGTCATCGACTATTTAAGCCGGGAGAGTCCGGAGCACTGTTCGGGGAATTATTTTGGCACGCCAAATCTATTTCGCCTTATTTTGTTCTCGCGATTCTGAGTGGTGGTGTGCGTGCACGTTGGGTGGGTCACGTAGCCCGTATGCCCAGCCACAGCATGCCCAAGCAGCTTCTGTTTGCCCCGCATAGCCCCTCTATGCGGGCAAACAGCACGGGCTGGAGAGGAGATGGACCGATGCGGTACAGGAAGATGTGGACCCGAGTGAGACTTGCCGAAGACTGGTACCAGCGGTGTCACGTTTTGGCCTCTATTGAGGAGGCTCGTGAAGGATGCTAATGTGCAGTTGAAGGCAGTCGCCCTCCAACAACAGCAGAGGGGGAGTGGAGCGATGCTCACAACAATGAGCAGAGCGCCAGGCAGCTAAAACGCAGCAAGTTGGCACAGTGGTGCATCTGCTCGTCATATCAGTCAGCCAATCCATAGCACATGGGTCTGTCCCATGACTTACTATCAGCAAGCCTTCAACAATTCACGTGGCCTGGCACAAACACCGCGGTGACATCACCGACACTTTGCGGCGAATGCCAGCTGTTGTTGTTGTTCGTGCGGTGCTGTGTGCATGCGGTAGTGTATGTGTGTGTGTGCGTGGGGTGGGTGTGTTGTGGGGTGCAAAAAGAGTGTGAATAACATTTTAGGGTTACCAGATGTCCTGAAGGACAGCCAGTACTTAAGAATACAGGGTACAATAATATTAGTTTATTATGGATATGCGTATATCTTGTACTCTCGTGGTCGTGCATTACAATGCCAAATCCCTACTCCAAGCCTGCCTAGCATTGTTCTGGAAAATATCGAGTGAGAAAATAAACCCTTCGTGGTCCTGTGGCCCTGCGGTGCGTGCGTTGCGTTGCGTGTTACCGCTGGACGCGGCTGTGCTGGCATTCTGTGGGCCGGCGGTGCTGGGCGGCACGGTGCTGTTCGCAGGAGAGGGCTTCGCACTGTGCGTTACATTTGCTGCTGAGAGGCGAGAGAACAACGGGGGGAGGGGGGAGCAGTAACGGCGTTCGGACGCGTCCTCTAAGCCCCCCCCCCCACACTGCACCCTCAACGCAGCGTCTAACTGGCCAACTCGCTATTCCCACACCACGACCCCACACCCTATCCCCAGTGCTCTAACCCAACCACTCTACTGCAAACTCTACCCCCCCCCCCCACCCCCAAAACTCTATCCCCATCCTCTACTGCCAACTATACCCCCACACCCCAAACCCCTACCCCCCCCACGGCATATCCTCATACACTAGCGGCACCCCCCCCATTCCCCACACCCACAACATATCCCCAACTCTCTACCCCCATGCCCCACACCCACCCTTTACCCCCAACTCGCTGACCCCACACGTCTTATCCCCCCACCCTATATCCATCGCTATCCCCTACCTCCACACGCTACCGACACCACCCCTACCCAACTCTCTACACAAACACTATGCGGTAAAACCTTGGATTGCGAGCATAATTCGTTCCGGAAACGTGTTTGTAATCCAAAGCAATCGTATATCAGTTGTGATCACGTGACGCTCGGCAGTACAAAGCGTCTACACGTACTACTACTACTCGTATTGCAAGACCCTTGCCCGTTTATCAAATTAATATTTATTTTAAAAAAAATGCTCGTCTTGATAAACACTCGCAGACCAAGTTACTCGCAATCCAAGGTTTTACTGTACATCAATAAACTCCTGATGCCCATCGAATTGATTACCAAACTCGCCACAGTTATTTATAAGCTGCAGCGTGTACAAAAGTCTTTGGCACGGGTCGTGACGGTACTGCAAGACACGACCGTGTCCGTCCAGTGCTCCCTGGAGCTGCATCGGTTTCCATTTGCCGAGCGAATACGTTATAAGGTCGCACTCATTGCACACAAAGTGTTAGCCACAAATGATCATCCTCGCAGCAGCAGCAGCAGCAACAGGTTCTGGATAATCATCGAACAAAGACGGTGGTTCACCGCATCGCGCGCTTTCAGATGGCGCTTCTGCGGCCGTCTGGAACGCTCTTCCTTCCGATGTTAGGAAGCCGCTGGATCTGTGCACTTTTTTTTTAATCTAGAGTTAAAACTCATTTCTTGAGAACTGCTTTTTGTGTTAAGTTTTGTCGTCCTTCCCCCGAACCTCGGATCAAGCTGTTGGCCAAGTACGGCGCGCAAGAAGTTCAACATGCATCCATATATAAAACATTGTCAGTTGTTCTTCAAATGCCAGAGGAAAGAGAGATGCTCTCCACCGGTGGTTCAACCTTTTTTGGGCTACTGTTGGGTACTTTCTTAAATTGTTTCAGGGTATCCTCCTTGCCTGACCCAACATGGTTCTGAGAAAGAAATAAATGCATGCGTAATGAACCCAACTATCAAATTTGTAATGGATCCTAACTAGCCAGTAACTGCAAGCGAATAAAAACAATTCAACGGACGCTCTTGCGGTGCGCGATGCGATTTGTTTGCTGGTTACTCGTGTAAACCACATTGTTTACCATCAATGAGTTTAAAAAGGTATTTTATATCGTTCTAGGTTACCACGTGGCTTTAAATGTTATCGTAGTTATTTAATATTGGCGGATTCACACACACACACGACTATTCACCAATGACTCTCATGCACGATACAATTTAAGCACATTATTATAAATCATTGCCACGCACACCCCCAGGGTTCCGCGTGCCTCCTGTTGAGAATCAACCGCTCTCTAACCACCCCATGCTGCCCGCATCAGTGCCGACCACCACCTCAACCCCGCGCGTTCACCTGTGGGTGGCGCCAGCGTGCCGTTTCCTGTGGTGCGCGCAACGGTGACGTTGGGGACAAACGCAGTCGAGGCATCGGCCGTCGTGGCAGGAGGAACCGACGACGATGCACCTGCTCCAACTCCATGGGAATCTGGCGTGGGGGTTCACGATAAGAGTTGGTGGTGGTGGTTAAGACGACTTACGACGGAGGTCGAACGCGTTCGCAAGCTGAACCTTAAAGAGTCGTTGAACCAGCTTGAGTGGGATCAGAATCGGAACATTTTTTGCTTATACCGGAAGAATCCGATGAGCTGTAAAAGCTCTTTTTCCACAGATGCCCCGGGAGTTTTCACGGGTGTCCAGCAGAAAGAGACCAGGACAAGTCTCATTTGCATCACACCCAGAGTCACCGAAAATGGCTAAAACAATAAAATAACCTACAGCGTTGAGAAGGAAAGTAGCAATCAGGGGGGTGCACAGTCTTGATTACTCTCGTAAAGTTGATCCAAAATACAAAAAAAAACTTTAATATTTTTTATTTTACCACAGAGCCTCATCCTGTGATAGCCAGAAGTGACCTGGCTATCACAAATGATAGCTCAACGAAGTGGCTTATTATCAGCACGTGGAAATTCATAGTACACGGCTCCAAAAAACGAGAGTAACGAGACCCAGCAAGCCCTTCCTGCATAAACAAGCGTTCAGGATTCCCTTCGTTCTGATATTGGCTTTAGAAAACCTAAATTTTTCTATGAATTAACCTAAAATAAATATGTACATAAGATACGAAATACGTGAAAATTATCATAACACAGAAAAAATACAAATTGGTTATCCTAAACGTAAAGTAAATACGAATAAATTCAGGTTTTTTTTTTTATTAACTTACTTTTATCTCAATCACTTTACCTCGCTCTCGTGCAGTCGTGAGTTACAGCTAATGATTCGCGGATCGCCCAAAATCTCAGATTGAAAGCTCGTGAATAACGAGGCAATACTTTACTTAACGGTCAGTGATACGAATATTTTACATCCTGTCGTTTCCTCTAGCAACTCTACATTTCCTCACAAATGCCAAGTACCCTCTCTTAACTAACGCCAGCCAACACGGTGGCGTGCAGCATTGTACGTCGATTAGGCTTGATTATTGCAACTCCTTTCGACGGGACACCTGCCAAAAACATTACCAAGCTGCAGCGTGTACAAAAATTCGTTGGCACGGTCCCGTGCCGAGCTGCGTTGGTTTCCGGTCGCTGAACGAATCCCATTGTCAGGTCTCACTCGTTGCACAAAAAGTGCTCGCTGCAAATGAACCGCGGTACCTCGCCGA